CTCTCACAGTTACCAAGGTCAGATCACACCATCTACTCCTAACCACACGTGGCCTCTCACAGTTACCAAGGTCAGATCACACCATCTCCTTCTAACCACACGTGGCCTCTCACAGTTACCAATGTCAGATCACACCATCTACTCCTAACCACACGTGGCCTCTCACAGTGACCGAGGTCAGATCACAACATCTCCTTCTAACCACGCGTGGCCTCTCACAGTTACCAAGGTTAGATCACACCATCTACTCCTAACCACACGTGGCCTCTCACAGTTACCGAGGTCAGATCACACAGTGCCCAAGCAGATAATTATTAACTTAGTGTTGTTGCTGCTTTGTGAGTTTCAAACTATATTTACTGGGCAGACTGTGGGGAGCGCAGATTAAAGCTGAGGGTTTGATTTTATTGAGGGAATGAAACATTAGAACAGGTTTAGTATTTGGATTGCAAGCTTTTAACCAGAGGTAAATCAGGTAAAAATCGAATGAATAACCAAATTCCCGGTAAATGTGTGTCTTTGTCATCCTGGTGACAGCCCTAGAGTTCCTTAACCCCTTAAGAACCAAACTTCTGGAATAAAAGGGAATCATGACATGTCACACAAGTCATGTGTCCTTAAGGGGTTAATTCTGTATCTGGAATCAGCATGTTTCAGTCATTTCACCAAAACAGATTTTCTGTCCGTTTACATTTTGTCTCTTTTTTCTCCTATAGGAATTCCCTGCCGTTCCCGGTAAAAACAGTGAGTATTTGTTCTCGATGTAAATCAAACCATAGCACCCTTCAATTTAGTCATGTCCCCACCTACTTATAACCTGCCCCACCATGCCGTAACCTCTCACCATCCCATAACCTGCCTCGCCCATCTCGTGGTAACTTGCACCACCATGCCATAATCTCTCACATCCTATAACCTGCCTCGCCCCTCTCATAATAACCTACCTCACCATGCCTTAATCTCTCACCATCCCATAACCTGCCTCATCCCACCCCTTGTAAATTGCCTCACTCATCATAACCTGCCCCTCCATGCAGAGGGTGGAGACCCTGAATGTCAGTCACACTGTGCAGCACTGCCCCAGGAATTACCTCTAGCAGCCATCTGAGTGGCCAGTGGATCCTCAGTGTCTCTGAAAAGACAGTGTTTACTGCAAAAAGCCTGAAGGGAATGATTATACTCACCAGAACAAATACAATAAGCTGTCATCGTAATGATGACTATAGTGTCCATTTTAACTTTGAAATACTCAGTTTAGTAAATCATCTTTTTGTGAATGGATAGCATTGTGTTCCCTGTGACGGAGGTATTTTATAGAATTAGGGACCTACACTCAGAGGAAGGGAGAGCTAATAAGGTCTTCACAGTGAAGTAGAAATAATAGTCCCTGTGGCCAAAACATTGACCTCACTGCTGCATAAACACAGGTGGAATGGATGGACCCTGCCATCACTTACCGGTCTGCATGTTGTGTGTTCTGTGATGTGATAGGTCGGTGTGATCTCTTTTTTTCATACAGCCTCACGGGATGATTATGAGGACGTGAATGACCCGTCCAAGAGGAATCCGGCTGCGACACCTGGGGGGCTAGGTAAGGGGCTGGGAAACCGGGGGGACTAGGTAAGGGGCTGGGAAACCGGGGGGAGGCCCTCTTAGGTAAAGAGTTCGGATGGAATACCTAGGGGGCCCAGGTATGGGGCTGAGATACGGGGGGCCTAGGTAAGGGGCTTATATACTGGGGGAGGGGTTGCAATATCTGGGGTCTAGGTAGAGGGCTGATATAACGGGCAGAGCGAGTAGGGACATTCGGGAGATATCAATCAGCGTTATGCTATTATGGGGGTCATATTGAGGACATGTGAGGGAGGACATGGGAGGCTTAGGAAGTGGAGGGGAACACTGCTCCCTGCCGCTTCTATTTTTACATTGGTAGCTCCCTCCTTGTAATAAACTGAACAAATGAATACCGATATTCAGTGTTTGTTTGTTCATCTGACATTTCTATTCATTCATTCGTCTTTCTGACGAATAAATGAATAGATGAAATTCCCGTTCGCATGCCCAAGTGTTTAACTTGGTGGCGCCCAGGACCTAGGTCCAGGCAAAAAATAAAGATAAAAGAAAATAGGAAATATGGGGCTTGTGGGCATTTGGAGTGGAGGGGGGGAGTTTAAAAAAAAAAAAAAAAAATACAAGAAAACCGGGATTCGGCCATGACAGTGCCGCTTTAAAGGACCACTCTAGGCACCCAGACCACTTCAGCTTAATGAAGTGGTCTGGGTGCCAGGTCCAGCTAGGGTTAACCCATTATTTTATAAACATGGCAGTTTCAGAGAAACTGCTATGTTTATGAATGGGTTAAGCCTTCCCCCTAATCCTCTAGTGGCTGTCTCATTGACAGCCGCTAGAGGCGCTTGCGTGATTCTCACTGTGATTTTCACAGTGAGAGCACGCCAGCGTACATAGGAAAGCATTGTAAATGCTTTCCTATGCGACCGGCTGAATGCGCACGCAGCTCTTGCCGCGTGTGCGCATTCAGCCGACGAGGCGGATCAGAGGAGGAGAGAAGGAGGAGAGCTCCCCGCCCAGCGCTGGAAAAAGGTAAGTTTAAACCCCTTTCCAGAGGTGGGGGCACCCTCAGGGTACTATAGTGGTCCTTTAATCTTTCCTGGTAAGTTTTATCCCGCAATCCATGAACCAGTTTAGTAGCCCTTCTCTGAACCCTCTCTAAGGTATCAATATCCTTCTGAAGATACGGTCTCCAGTACTGTGTACAATACTCCAAGTGAGGTCTCACCAGTGTTCTGTACAATGGCATGAGCACTTCCCTCTTTCTACTGCTAATACCTCTCCCTATACAACCAAGCATTCTGCTAGCATTTCCTGCTGCTCTATTACATTGTCTGCCTACCTTTAAGTCACCAGAAATAATCACCCCTAAATCCCTTTCCTCATATGTTGAGGTTAGGACTCTATCAAATATTCTGTACTCTGCCCTTGGGTTTTTACGTCCAAGATGCATTATCTTGCACTTATCCACATTAAATGTCAGTTGCCACAATTCTGACCATTTTTCTAGTTTACCTAAATCATTTGTCATTTGGCTTATCCCTCCTGGAACATCAACCTTGGTACTGGGAGGGGCTACGTAAGGGTCTGAGATAGCCGGAGGGAGGGCTAGGTAAGATTGTTAAAGGTCTTGTATAAAGGGACATCGGTAATGGGCTGTATTGTTGGAGCAAGGTAAAGAGCTGAGATATTTTGGGGAGCACGGTGTGGAGGTAGGATATTTTGGAGAGAACAGTGAGGAGCTGGGATATTTCAGGCAGCAGGGTGAAGTTCACTAATGGCTTATAACCTATTTATCTCCTCTTCCTTGCACTGTGGTGTTAATTACTAGACTTGTACTCTGCAGGATTTAACTGTCGCATTGCGAAGCCCAAGGGACCCAGAGACCCTCCTGCGGAGTGGAGCCGCTAGTTACCAGCAGATGGAAAACTGAATCAAAGAGCCCTGGAATCATCCAACTAACAAATTCGAGACCAGTCCCCATCCTGAACCACAGACAGTCCAACAGCCAACTACAAGCTGACCTTCAATAGGTCACAGATGGTTATTAAATGGGCACTCTAGGTACCATAACCACTACTGTGCATTGTAGTTATGGAGTCAAGGTTGCCATGGTTTGACAGTTAGCTTGGGGTGTTGGGTGCTCAGTCATTCCAGTCTGAGCTGCTCTTATAAAGCCAAGTATTAACAACTTGACGGAATACTGGTGAATGGGAAAACCTGGCGCTATAACCACTACAGAAGATAAGGTGCCTAGAGTGTTTCTTTAAAAGTTATTTGAAGATGTACAGTGGATGTGGGTTGTCTGCACAATATAGGTTGGGGATGTGCAGTGTGTGAATGATTATGTCTGGGAGGCGAGGGGGTCAGGGGTGAGAATCTGGCAGTGAACCCATTGGGGATGTACAGTATGACACAAATACTATGTTACCGCACATGTATGTGAATAGAGCATGTTACATGTGCAAATTCTCTTTGTTAATAAAGATTGGCATTTCCCATAGTGTGAGTGTGATGATCCATTACTGCTGATAGTCGGCCGAGCTTGGAAACTGCCCCATCCATCAACCAAACTGCCCATGTGCAGTTAAAGTTGGTCATAATTCAAGTAACAGAGCTGGAGATTAAAGCGTCTAAACACACTGGGCTGTAAATGAAACTTTCTCCTATGGACGCTGGCGTCTTCTCACTGTGAAAATCACAGTGAGAAGCACGCAAGCGCCTCTAGCGGCTGTCAATGAGACAGCTACTAGAGGCTGGATTAACCTATTTATAAACCTAGTTTCTCTGAAACTACTATGGAGAGAATATATAAAATAAAAAAGGTTAACCCTAGCTGGACCAGGTTCCCAGACCACTTCATTAAGCTGAAGTGCTCTGGATGCCTATAGCGGTCCTTTAACAATATAAAATATTTACAATTTCTAAGTCTCATGTTACTGTTCCAATCCTACGCCATTAAAAGTCTCCATGTTACCAGACTCGTACGGTGTACTTTAACATGTAATTTGGTTGTAGCGGAGCACACTGATAGCTGGCCACTCACTCCAGGAAATTCCATTGAAGAAGTAATTATTGGGTTATGTAACGAGACAAGAAAGAAAAGAAGGTACTACTGCAGCCTATCTGAATCCGTGGTGATCTCACTACCCTCGGTACCCAGACTGTGTGAATTCATTTGTAACCGGCAGTCCTTCTATAGTGCCCTACATGCACCATTTACATTCACAGTCATATTGTCAGCTTTTAGAAAAACCTCCAAGTTCGTTCACTAGTTTTATTCCCCGGCTGGGAATTACTAACTGTTGCCAAATTAACAGCGTTGGAGAGTCTTCTTCCATTTTGTTTTAAGTGACAATTTGTAAATCTCAATTTAGTTCTTCCCAATTTCTGACTTGGAGAGAGATCTTTAATGAGTGTTTGACTCGGAGGAAAGACGCGCTATTTAGAAATAAACCTTTTATTTACATGGCATGCCCACATACACACTATTCCACGCTGAGGAACTTCCTTTTCTTGGCCGTGTTTGTGTACGGATGCCAGCGCCACTCCACCTCGGCTGTGTTCTCGTTCTCCAAGGTGCCCAGTTTGATCATATACACTGGAAAACATTATTGATTAACGTGAGAATGTCTGGAGAAGGAGGGATACAGACAGTATTAAATCACATAAAAAACACTTACACTTCATCTCAAAGCGGGGGCCCACTTCAGACAGCTCAATATTGCGATGATCAGTCTTTTTATATACATGGTGCCTGGAAAAAGAATGGGGATGTTCAGTTATACCCTACACACCCCAACCAAAGTCCCAGAGAGAACGGTGACTGGCAGATACCTAAATGAGATGTAGTCCTCTTGGTTAGCAAAGGTGATCACTCTCTTGCTTTCCTCTTTGGGAACCGGAAACAAGTATTTCAAGATGTCGGATACCTGAAAGGTAAAACAGAGTCAGCACAGTAACATCCGGTTACTGCAACAGCGGAACTTAGCACAGGTTAACGCACCCTCTGTCCCAGCCTGGAGGTAAAGTTGTGGAAGACGAGGTGGGGGAATGCTTCGGACATGGTCCCGAGATCAGGAATATCATGTCTCATAACCACGTTACAGAGCGTGAAGTATGCAGTGGGTCCGAAGGGAAGGTGACACACGATGAGGCCATCTGGGAAGCAAACAATGGCCTAGCAGTCAGATAAAATCACCAGCGACAGACATAATCAAGCAATTCCTTAAATCAAGTGCGTCCCCCTGGGCTGAGAGGAAGCACTCAATAAGCAGAATATTTGATCTCGAAATAAAACCATGTTTAGATTTGGTGCATCCTTGGCGCTGATGGATGTTTAAGGGGATTGGGTTATTAATGTAGAACCGACCTGGCATCCCTCTGTGTTCGTGCACAATTAAAAGGTCTGTGACGTCATTAGCCTTGCACGCCTGTACCAGGGCGCCAACCTCATGCTTTCCTCTGTTCATGCGCTGTGCATTTGGAAAAGTCAGCTTTATTTCCTGATTGGGTAAGAAACATCAATGAACACAAAGAAACACAAACAGACAATCTGTCACATCCTGAATAGCACCAAACTGCATCCACTAACAACCCTGTAAGGAATGAGCCGTTACAGGACAGTAAGAACAGATCACCGCTCTATGGGTCCCATTGATTGTTAACCTGGGCACAGCCATTTACACCACAGATGCCATAGAACTTGTCTTAACCTTGAGATGTTCTGTTCTGGCTTAATAATGTAGCAAATGACCTCACAATCCAGTTCAGACAAGGCACTGCCAGGGCACACATTGTAAATGGAGGGAATAGAGACATTGTGTCATTTTCTCTGTATGCTCCCTCTATGCTGAGTGCCAGGCGCAAAGGGAGGAGCTTATAACAATGTCTGACAGGGAGCCAAGATGGAGGCGCCCAGTTTCACACATCTATAACATAAAGGGAGAAGAAAACCTTAAAAATACGGTGTTTGACAGGACGTGTAACCAGTTGGACAGCTGAAGATTAAGGGAAAACTAACAAAACACGTCCTGCGAAGGTCATACAACGACCGGGCAATACAGCTGGTTATTGCTCACTATAAGGACTTTGAGGAATGGGTTGGATCTTGCGTGTGACGACTTATACAATGATGTATTAGAAAGGAGTTTATTTCTGGGGTTAGAGGTGAAGAGCTGGGGTAGCCCAGTGACTACGGAGCTGTATGGGGCCATTAATACAGACAGCATTACAAAGGGATTCTGGGAGATGGCGGCACGAAATGTACTTCAGGTACTCTTACAGTAAACAGTAAAATACTTCCTGCAGATACAGCCTGTTAATAACGGGTTTATGGATTGCAGGAAAGGATATAGCCACCTTTGAAGTAAACGCTGTTTCTTACATTGAACACCAGGGAAAGTATGGATAAATGGGGTGTAAGGACTTGAGATGATTTGTGTAGAAGTGAGAAGACGGTGGGTGTTATATTGAGATGTTCAGTGCCATTAACAGGGAGGAATAAATGTCAGCACAGAGTCTGCAATCCGTACCTTCGCGAACATTTTCAGACGAGAACTTGGATCCCTGGATGTTGTAATCATGATTTTGGGGTCCTCCACACCAGCCCACTTGTATTCATTGTCCACATGAGAGGAAATACCTAAAGGATTCAGAAATGTTTGAACCTAAAAACACGAACTTTTGTTTAAGGGTTACATTAATGCACTATTAAAGGGATGCACTACTGCCCAAATACAAAATCAGTATCGTTTAATAATGATAAGTCTTTGCAAGCAGGTGCTCTGGGCAATTGTTGCCTCTTGAGTTTAAAATGTACTAAGCAAAACAAAGCAGGAAGTAACAGGACCGGGTGTCTGTACACTCCAGTATCAGCCCCAAATCTAATCTACGATAGCACCTGATAATATTCACCTTCCTGGCCTTGATCATCGAACTCTATCTGCTGCTGTAAGGAGAGAGCCTCTTTCCGGATCTCGGTGGGAATCAGACGGTTCTCTGGAACAAGAAACAGAACGGACAGGTCGGATTATAATTATTGCCATTTATAAAGCGCCAACGTAGTCGGCAGCGCTATGTAGTATTATAAAAGGGAGAAATGTAACAGATTATTCTATACTACCCCCGGTATGGTCTACCCAATCACTAACCTTCTAGAGCTCGCTTCAACCGCTGCTTCTTGTCCTCAATGCTGTGCAGCTTGGCCTCCTGGGCTTTCTTGTAGAGATACTCCCTGCGGAGCCGGGCTTCCCTGCGGAGCTGTACACAGTCTAGTTACATTACCCTTCCTGAAACACTCCGACTAGAGGTAAGTAGTATATAAAAGAGTCCTACAACAGTTAGACAAGAGGTAAGTGGCATAGCGGGTCCAGGGTTGGAGGAAAGTGGCATAGCGGGTCCAGGGTTGAAGGAAAGTGGCATAGCGGGTCCAGGGTTGGAGGAAAGTGGCATAGCGGGTCCAGGGTTGGAGGAAAGTGGCATAGCGGGTCCAGGGTTGGAGGAAAGTGGCATAGCGGGTCCAGGGTTGGAGGAAAGTGGCATAGAGGGTCCAGGGTTGGAGGAAAGTGGCATAGAGGGTCCAGGGTTGGAGGAAAGTGGCATAGAGGGTCCAGGGTTGGAGGAAAGTGGCATAGAGGGTCCAGGGTTGGAGGAAAGTGGTATAGAGGGTCCAGGGTTGGAGGTAAGTAGTACAGAGGGTCCAGGGTTGGAGGTAAGTCCAGTCAATATATAATATATACAGTGATAGATGGGTTTAAGTGCCGTGTTATTTATAAAATTATCTGTACAAAATATTTCAGCAATTTGGCTATAAATAAATAAAGTGAGAAGTAACAGATTTGATGGATGCACCAGACTAATTCTTAAACAGTCCAGTAATGTCTGTGCATGCTAAATATTAATAATACAGTATCGGCTCACTTTGCACAGTACCATAAAGCGGATGAGCCTTTTAAACTTTAATGCTATATGTAAAGTAAAGAAGCATTGGAGAGGTGGAGACCACATGAAGCAATTGGGCGTCCAAGAAATGAAAAGGATTTACAATTTAAATACCCTACAACCGCATGGTTTAAACGCAGAATTTGAACTGTACCATTTTTGGGGGTAAAAAACACGTATAATTGGCCCATTTCTTAGACATCAGTAATATCACCTTGAATAAATACGGAATCACTGTAAAGTACAACATGGGAAGAATCCCACAGCATCTACGACAATCCTGGGAGAAGAACCCATTTAGCAAGTATGAGCAATGAGGTTCTCTCTTGGAAAGAAGAAACCATTCAAAATATTTTTTTGCCTAAGACAGATTCAACACACACACAATAAGAATCATATATGACTTTTGTAGCGGAGCTGCGATGTTAAATCCCAAGATCTCCGCTGGTACAGAAAGTAATCCAAGTAAAGCGCTGAATGAAGGCAATATCCCAAATCCCCCAGTAACCGGACGAAACAGTTCTGGGAGTCAACTGACGATGTTATTCACAAGCTCCAGTATTTATGCGATTCCCCATGCAAGGGGTTACCTTAGTCACTTTACAGGGGTTGTACAGTAGGGGACTACATGGGGAACTGAACATACAGGACATTTCTCCCACCATGCACTGCTGTAAGAGAGGGATACTCCCACGACAATATCCTGTTAAGTGGATTATCCCTCCGTACAGCAGAACCAGGCCATATAACTTGCACGTTATTCGTGCTATTATACCGAATGACATAGGTAGATAGCTGGGATCTGAGCGCATACTTCAGGAAACTACCGCTCAGATCCCAGCATAATTAGCCGAATGCAACACGAAATACACTTTAATATAAACTCATCAGAAAAGACACGAATGCACAGTTTGAGGGAAAGTACTGAAAGACCGGTGTTCCCAAACAGTCTGGAAGTCTAGCGGTGTTCATGCTGTCGAGTAGCCGATTTTAGTTCCAGGCACTCGACGACCAAACACCGCTGGGCTAAAAGTGAATCCAAGAAGGCTGCCACCACGTGGTTGCTATCTTAACGGCGGCCACCCTGCAAATCAATTAACCGAGGAACGATACATTGTTGCAATCTGTTAATAGGAGCCACACGACCTCCTCGGTGTGGTCTCACATTCGGTACTTGTTGAAAGTCACTGTTCGTGAAACTACCATATGATACGAACGCTCTCTAGCACCTTCTTAAGCGAACACATAAAACAACACAGGTTAAACAGCCTTTCTTGGACAACCATTAGATATATAAAGGAATAGTCTGAAGTGGCTAGGTTTGTCACAACTTTATATTAGAAGTCATTAAATGTGGGCGATACATCATCCCTCTCTCCTCATGCATTATACTATATTCATCTCAATACAATATACTTGGAAATCCCTGTCCTAAAATGGTCTAGCATCATTTATACAATTCCCAGTAGAAAGAATTCTTCAAATAGATTTTTGAGAATATAAAAAGATTTATGAATACAGAACTATAGTATCCATATTCCATTTTATTCATCCTCCTCTTCATTTCTAATTTTTGTCTCTATCCCCATTTTTATTCTTTACCATTCCTGCTACATGTGGAACTACACAGAAAAAAAGCCGTATTAGTCACTGTGTAGAAACGAGATACTAGAGATGCCAGTACAACCGGGAATAATAATACCCACTATTAATGTAATTAGTAACCTACCAATATCCGATCTAGAATAAATGATAATACCCACTATTAATGTAATTAGTAACCTACCAATATCCGATCTAGAATAAATGATAATACCCACTATTAATGTAATTAGTAACCTACCAATATCCGATTTAGAATAAATGATAATACCCACTATTAATGTAATTAGTAACCTACCAATATCCGATCTAGAATAAATGATAATACCCACTATTAATGTAATGAGTAACCTACCAATATCCGATCTAGAATAAATGATAATACCCACTATTAATGTAATTAGTAACCTACCAATATCCGATCTAGAATAAATGATAATACCCACTATTAATGTAATGAGTAACCTACCAATATCCGATCTAGAATAAATGATAATACCCACTATTAATGTAATTAGTAACCTACCAATATCCGATCTAGAATAAATGATAATACCCACTATTAATGTAATGAGTAACCTACCAATATCCGATCTAGAATAAATGATAATACCCACTATTAATGTAATGAGTAACCTACCAATATCCGATCTAGAATAAATGATAATACCCACTATTAATACTTAATTAGTAACTTCTACAATATCCAAATCTAGAATAAATGTAATAGGTAACTACGTATCCGATCTAATGTAATTGGTAACCTACCAATATCCGATCTAGAATAAATGATAATACCCACTATTAATGTAATTGGTAACCTACCAATATCCGATCTAGAATAAATGATAATACCCACTATTAATGTAATGAGTAACCTACCAATATCCGATCTAGAATAAATGATAATACCCACTATTAATGTAATGAGTAACCTACCAATATCCGATAAATAAATGTAATACCCACTATTAATGTAATTGGTAACCTACCAATATCCGATCTACAATAAATGATAATACCCACTATTAATGTAATTAGTAACCTACCAATATCCGATCTAGAATAAATGATAATACCCACTATTAATGTAATTGGTAACCTACCAATATCCGATCTACAATAAATGATAATACCCACTATTAATGTAATGAGTAACCTACCAATATCCGATCTAGAATAAATGTAATGAGTAACCTACCAATATCCGATCTAGAATAAATGATAATACCCACTATTAATGTAATTAGTAACCTACCAATATCCGATCTAGAATAAATGATAATACCCACTATTAATGTAATTGGTAACCTACCAATATCCGATCTACAATAAATGATAATACCCACTATTAATGTAATTGGTAACCTACCAATATCCGATCTAGAATAAATGATAATACCCACTATTAATGTAATTGGTAACCTACCAATATCCGATCTACAATAAATGATAATACCCACTATTAATGTAATGAGTAACCTACCAATATCCGATCTAGAATAAATGTAATGAGTAACCTACCAATATCCGATCTAGAATAAATGATAATACCCACTATTAATGTAATTGGTAACCTACCAATATCCGATCTACAATAAATGATAATACCCACTATTAATGTAATGAGTAACCTACCAATATCCGATCTAGAATAAATGATTGCCATGTGTATTAGCGGTAAAACCAGTTAACCCGTTCCTGATTCACATATGCAGAATAATCGTTAACAACACGGGGAGGTTTTAAATGGTTTAACCCTTTCAATATATCCTGTTTAATATTCGGTGCTATATTAAGAGATACTGCCATGATAAGTTAATAATAGTTACATTTTGAAGGTAATTATGGGGTGATAGCCCTGTGTGTATGGGGGAAGGGGTGACAGCCCTGTGTGCTGGGGAAGGGGTGTGATAGCCCCTGTGTGTATGGGGAAGGGGTTGATAGCCCTGGATGGGAAGGGGGTATAGCCCTGTGTGTATGGGGGAAGGGGTGATAGCCCTGTGTGTATGGGGGGAAGGGGTGATAGCCCTGTGTGTATAGGGGGTGATAGCCCTGTGTGTATAGGGGGTGATAGCCCCCTGTGTGTGTATGGGGAAGGGGTGATAGCCCTGTGGTGTATGGGGGGTGATGGCCTGTGGGGTGATAGCCCTGTGTGTATGGGAGGGGTGATAGCCCTGTGTGTGTATGGGGGGGTGATGATGCCCTGTGTGTATGGGGGTGAAGCCCCTGCGTGTATGGGGGATTGATAGCCGTGTATGTGGATAATATTCTTAGTAAATAGCGCTCTATACACCGGTAGGGACTCACCATTGTGGCTGCCGGTTGTCCTCACGTGGCTCTGCACCTTCCAGTAACACGCTCTCCTATTGGCTGCCCTTTCCTTTTCCCTTAAGTAAGATGGCGCCGGGATAAGACGTCATCACTGCGCAAACCCGGAACTGCCGGCGAAGTCATGTGACCCACAGTCTGCTCCCAGCACAGGAGGTCACAGGACCTGAGTGAGTGTCTGCTCTGCTCTGCTCTGCTCTGTGTATTATTATTATTATTATTATTATTATTATTTATATAGTGTGTGTGATCTGTGTATATTATTATTATTATTTATATAGAGTGTGATCTGTGTATTATTATTATTATTATTATTATTTATATAGTGTGTGTGTGATCTGTGTATTATTATTATTATTATTATTATTTATATAGTGTGTGTGTGATCTGTGTATTATTATTATTATTATTTATATAGAGTGTGTGATCTGTGTATTATTATTATTATTATTATTTGTATAGCGTGCGAGGTGTGAGTATCAATCCTACATAGTGTTAATATATTAGTGTTATATAGCAGCCTATATATCCTGCTCTGTATAGTGTTCGTTATATTTATTGCTATTATGATATTTTATGATGGGAGCCTGTTCCATATAGTGTTAGCTGTATATATTGATATATTTTGTGATGGGAGCGTGCTCCATACAATGTGAGGATTGCACAGTATTCCACTGTATGTTCCAGCTCTCCCTGGCAGTATGGCACCAGCCTCCGAGGAGAAGATGGCATCGGTGTGCCAGGAGCTTGATCTACTCACTCTCAGGCTCATGGACCAACTGGAACTACTCCGAAATAAGAGGACTTCTCTGAACCAGCTGATTGAGAAGGTGAGATGGCGCTGTCACTTTGCAGGTTATGGTTTTAATTACTCCATTTTGTCCCTCTATTTCTCCTTGTTTTTATTTTTTTGAAATTCAACTCAATTAAAATTCAATATATTATGAAAAAGTATGGACTGCTATTTCTCATGGGGAGCGTGATGTTTCGCAATGGGCGGAGTCTAAGCAAAGTTCAGTTTTAATTGCTAATTTACCCACAATCCATCAGTCACAGGAATCTAACTGAAGGCAAACCTACAGCCACTATGCAGAGAGGAAAACAAAATGGCAGCACCCCGGTAAGTAAAGATTGTAAGTAAAGGCAGAAGGTAAAGAGGGGAGTAAGTAAATGAAGACATGAAAGGGTGTCTGTGACGGAGCTCCCTGTAACCCGGCTGGGTACCGCTGCCAGGCAACGCATAGAGGACTAGTTCTATGTGCTCCTAGGGACTGGACGACACACTCCCGCAGCGACCAATCAGCACTTGTGCCAACCTATCAGGAGAATGGTGCGAACCCAGTTTGAATGGGTGCTCCTTCTCCCATTGGTCAGCACAGACTTCCAAGCGGCCAGCGGGACGACTGAGGCTGCGAAGCCGACTCACAGCTACAGGAATTCTGCTTCTCTCTCCAGTCAATACCTCCACTTGGGTAGCACTGGAGAGAGCGCTCTTTGGGCAGCTACAAGCCTGACCTCGCAGCTCCCAGGTAGGGAGAACCGTGATTATAGCTCCGTTAGGAGCAGGTAGGGCTATCCGAACCTCCAGTACCCCAACAGCGTTCCCACCAACCCCAGGGACCTGTTCGTGGAGTCCCGGTGCGAAGATCCCGCAAGGGAAGCGCATCCTTTTGGGATACGAATGCTCCCCCTGGATGGAGTTCACTTATTCAAATGGCGGCCAACCAGGGGAGCCCTCCTTAATTACTTCCATTGTGGTTTCACGCTTATGTTGCAGGTGCAAACATTCTGATTGGTGTGAACATTCTAATAGGGTACCGGGGTGGTCCACGTTTGGGAGACGAACGGGTTCCGTTCACGTGAGCGCTCCCGAACGGTCAACAGGGTATACAACACAAAATACATGGGGAACCGTACATTACTCCGGGGGCTAGTGGGCTAGTACAGCAAGGGTTATTCGAACCAAATCCTGGGCTTTATGAAAACACTTGCTTGTGATTGGAGTCACCTTTTAGCTTGCTCTACCAGTGGGCATACTTTGCGCATATGTGAAAACCGCAAGTTTGTGTCTTGTTAATGCAGATGGGTGGTTGCTATACTTTGTATTGGATTGCTGATTTGACACCAGACATATTGTAAAAGGTGAGATGTGTTATTATACATATCGTGCTGTATTCCTTGTCGCCTAGGGCTGGCTTTCGCTATCTCAGTCACGATATTCAATGGGGAATAAGTTTGTGTCATCTCTCCAGTACAAGCAGGACATGGCGCCATCGGTTGTAGTTCTGGAAAGGTGAGTCCTCACATGTGGCTCTAATACGCAGATAAAATAGGCAGTATATAGAATGGAGAGCAAGCGCACAGGGATGTTGTTATATTAGGTTTCCGTATGACACTTTATAAAATACTGCTGGTCCTGTCAGTCAGACTGCTAAGAAATTAATGGAGTTGTATTCTAATACTCTGTTTCAATCAGACCTTTCTCATTATTACTTACTGCCAGAGTGAGGTTGTGCTGTGAGGCTGGCGATATTGGCGATTGTTTATAAAAACTGATGCAGTCATGGTCACATCGCAATTACTAGAAATTACAGAAAAGATTCAGACGACATTTGAAGGATTTTTTTTTTTTTTTTATTCCTTAAGTTGAAGGACCATGAAAGCACTTTACCTGATTCTGAAAAACCTCTACTTGCCGGGGGAAAACAAAAAGCGCACTGTTCCACCTCCCTTTTATTTCTTTTTGTGGAATAAGACATACATCAGAGAAATAAGCCGTAGGTCATAGGGATCCATATTTTTAGGTATAGTCATTTTGCACTAGAAATCCCAATCAGTTGATATGTGATAATATAAAACTTGTATGTGAAATGTGACGGCGCATTACACTGCTACATCAAGATCTTCGTGAGAGGAAGAATAAATCTGACCTGCCGCCAGTGTGACTGACCGTATCGTGCTTATTCTTAAATGGTGGGAAAGTCGGTACACTCCGGATATAAGGCTACATTACACGCCGTAACTGCCATTGGGAGGCACCCGGGAGAGTAGTGTAGAAGCCCAAAAGGTCACCTTGGATCTTAAATTTAACCAATGAGCAACATTTCAAAAGTAAATGTTATTTAAAGAAATACAGCAATTGTAATGCAACACAGATTAAATTAAATCTGCATCATTGATGTCTCTGGTGACTATTACTCTGTCTCAGCTGGCAGGTAGAAGGATCACTCTTACACTTCTTTTTATATATTGGTAGCAGCAGTATTTCTGTCTGATTTAAAATTACTCAAAAAGAGGCAAAACTCCAACAAAGGGCACAAACAGTTTCAATGAGAACATTTTAGCATGAAAACAGGCTCCCCCCATTGTATCGCTGAGTAGAGGATTCACGTGGCTCGTGGCCTTCAATGCTACTAATCTGATTTCTCCATCTGTTCTTTATGACTTACTTTTGACAGCTGTGCATCTGATGGGAAGATGGCGTTTGAAGTGGAACGTGCTTCCGCTGCAGCGCTAATGGCCACGAAGAGCGTGGATCACAGGGCAGTGGAGGAAATCGGCGCTACCGAACCAAGTATGTAACGTGACTTTCTATGTATTATTTAATGGGCACTGGGGTTTAATGTCTGTAGAAATTCCATGTACGTAAATCTCCTGTCAACCAAAAGACCACCTATTTGCAAATTATTTTCCATGTTTTACAATATTCTATATTATAAGTGAAGTACTTGTACCTTATTCGTGGAGCGTCTGTGTATAAAAGGTGGTTTCTTACCCTCTTGCAATTTAGCTTGTAGGAGGTTCATAATAGCAATAAATGTCAAATATAAAACATAAATAGAACAAGATATAGTGCAGATGGTAATATAATTCTCCACAAAGCAAAGCCAAATAGATACTCACACGAGGTAGAGACCAAAAAATTCTAGATCACTTCGTGTGCGGTTATACATTAAGGTAACATGCCAACTCTCTTCAATCCTGGCTTTCCAATCTCCGAGGGAGAGAGGGGGAAAGTATCAAGACATTTAGAATGGTACAATTTAAAAATGATTCTTTTCTCATACTGGCAGAATCAAAAAGATATATTATTTAAACAGTAATCAGTTTATAGCTACACTACTATATATATATAAAAAATGTATATTTAATACCCTTGTTGATTTTTTAAATAAAATATTAAAGGGGCCGGCCAGGCTGGAACTAGTACTGTCCTTTGAATGCATTAAAATGAGCAGAAATAAAGAACCTCAAGCTGTTTGCTGTCAGTCTCTCGGGTAGCCTGGGAATTGGCTGCTCTCTCGGCCAGTTCTGTGCAGTTAGTACAGACTCTGTTTGTTATCCTTTCACTTATGATAAAAGTAATAAAACTAATTGACAAATGTTTGGTGATTAATTACTCGCCATGTTTTTTTAAAGTTTTTAAAAAATTCATTTTTTTTTTTTTTTTATTGTGCAAAGATTGACATACAGGCTTGAGATGCTATGACGGCAGCAACGAGCATAGTAGGAATATACATCAAGATATTGTCATGGCATATGAGGAAAGTGCACATTTTTATGGGTAGAATAAAACAGGCTTAACTGTGGATCTGAATATAAGATCTGAGAGCGAACAAGTTTAAAGAAAAGTAAGCTATTGCATGAAGCATGGTATATGCTAGGTAGGAGCTAAGTAAAACATAGTATAAAATGCTAGGATTAACACTGGAGATATTATGCCACTGGCCCTTGTCACCAACTATATGTGGATGATAATATGAGAAACCTGCATTACAGCCTTGGCTAACTGTGGTGAAAGGAAAATACTATTAGCACAATGCTGTGTGGGTAACAAAATAAAACAATGGAGCATAATAATTGCACTGGGTGCCTGCTCAGCCAGATGTGTGAAATGTCAAGCTAGGCTAGCTGATTTTGGTGCTGCTGTGTGTGGCCTAGCATGGGGGGAGGCCTGTGGCCGAGTAAGACCCTGCATTTGCAGCTAACTCATGCCCATCAGTGGCTGTACACAGTCCTGATCAGTGGAGTGTCCAGGCAGGCTAGAAAGCTGCAAGGCTTTGTCTGTCCCTGATGAACCCAGGTAAGTGATAGCTTGTGGTGTAGCATGAATCTTCATCTGGGACAGCGATCCTACTTCATGTTGCT